TAATATTATGACATATAAACTTAAAAAATGTGCATTACGTGTGAAAAGAATTTTCAAATAGATTTGGAATATATAGGTATATTATGATATATTACTGAATGACTACTGATAATCCTGTACAGAAATTTCCTATTCATCCATATGGAATTTCTGAACAAACTATAGACACATAGTAAATGAATATGCTGTACGCGTTTCTTAAGAGAAACCGCGCAAATTCTTTGTCATTATAAAATCACGAGTGCTGTGTCTTGTACGGACTTTAAATTGCAGTTACTAAAAATAAGACTATGTACGAGTTTCGAATTCTTAGAGCGATAAGGAAGAACTCGAAATATTCTTCTATGCTAGATTACTTTTATTTATCATAACTTTTACAATATACAATACTTTAAAAGGAGAAATATTTTGTAGAAAGAATAACTGTAAACTGATTCGGAAATAGCTTGTGTTTCACAATTTCATTTATTTTCTTCGAAATCCATAAAAAAACCGATCTATCTTAAACAAAGGATAGACCCTGATCGATCAACTGTGATTTTAATCACGTAATACGGTTTGCTATTTAGGATATGACGGCAATGAATTTCCCGAAACGTAGCTATCTTGTTTATGTATGTACGTAAAGTAGCGAGAGGAATTCTGTTTTATTTATGTTCAAATTGTTGATGGAATAATATACAACCCTCTATGCATATATTCGGAAAGCTTAAGCTTAAATCTTTCAAACCATTTTGTGAAGTTGCTTTCACGTCGGATTTCACAAATATAACTTTCCATAGAATTCTTACTGTTCTTAATTTAGAATTTACATTGAACTCTTAATATAAATGCACTACAAATTTTACTGGCATTTTCATTGACGTAAAAGACGATTCTTAGATGTTCTATTTTAATTCTCGGTAACTAAAGGAACAAATGAATTTTGTAAAACGGATTTGAAAATGTACTGTGTACAAACGGGTACGAATATATTCTTATGAGGAGTGTTCGTTAAGTTTTGAATACATTCTATGTATAACTACCGATGTTCTTTAACGTATCTAAAATCGGTAGAAAATCTAATGTACATAACGTACTTCCATGTTAGATTAATTGAGGCGCATTGAGGCGCATCCTGATACTCATAAAAATTAGTACAAGAGTCATCTCGTTAACGACTGTAACGGTAACGCGTAACACTTGTCAATCGGCGTGAAATATAAACGAATACGTACATATAGTCTGTTTGCGTGACATCTTTTCTAGCCTGCAATATTGGATTAGACAAACATACCCTTTTTTATATCATTACAATTTGCTGGTTTAAATGACATTGAATGATAACAGTGAGTACTTACCTTATAATAGACACATGCATGGCGTGCATGTGAAAGGTAAATCCAGGGAGGGAGACGGAAATTGCCGAGTGTAGCCGAAATGAGACGACTGTGTTCTGAAGGGTCGATCGGCCGATTAGCCATTGACCGAGCGCGAGCGTAAACGCAGTTCTGTCAGTCGGCGAGCGCCGTGCCGTTAACACTGTTTTCCTATATTTTTTGTTTTTTTTCTTCTAAATTCAAAATATTAAGAAATTGTATACAAAATTTCGTAAAATAATAGTTTGATCAAGAATTCTTTTTCCTCGACGAAAAAAGTTTTCTTTTTGAAAACAAATTGGTTCCCTTCTCTTTTCTAACAAATATATTTTTATCGCATTATTGTAAGTCAAAAGGTGCACAAGTTAGGCACAGTTATGCAAATGAGGAACCCCATTTTTTGACACATCCGTTTTCCATTGTGCTTTTTTGGATATTCTAAAGAAAACTTGCAAAACGCAACATACGTATATGCATGTGGTACAAAACCACGTGCGCAATACGAGAGGAGTTGCTGTAGGCACCTTGAACAGGTACGCTTGTCCGTATTAGTTACAATGTAAATAGTATTAACCCTGTATGTATGCATGACATACTAATTATTCAGGTTAATGGTTAATTATTCGCCGCCTTAAAATTTTGATTTACATATTGTCCCATAGTAATTAAGTAATTTCTATGTAAATGTCGTGTACCTTCACTTCATATTCATTAGTTTCACCTTTGTCTGAAATTAGAATGTAAAGCAATATTACGCTGTGTGATAAAAATGTACGATAAGTAAGCCTATGCACGATGAGACTTAACTTTAGTAGATAAAATTTAATTATTTAAATCGTTTGTACAACATTGCGTTTTTAATATTTCCTTCCGTCTTTTACAGTAGATTACATTATATTCCAAATGATTATTTAATATTAATTATGAACAATCAAAAAATATTACTTCATACACGTTACATTATCAAAACGAATAAGAGCTTAATTTGGAAGATAGTTCGTGAAATAAATTTGGTATTAAATTTTAAGCTCATACGATGATACAGAAAGTTGAATTCAGGAAAAAGCGGTAGAAAGTAGATTTCTTAATCAGCAAAGAGTAAAATAATTGACGAAGACTAGATTCTATCTACGATTAAAATCTTTTTGAAAAAGAAATGTCACAACGATGTATATACAGAATTTTACGTTCGCAGTACATTATGTTTACTCATACTTTCTACTTATTTCATGAAAGAATAATGTTTCTCATGGCTTTCACATTATATCCCATTTTCACTTTTTTATGTGGGCTTTAAAAAAAGAAAACAATTGTAAATGAATAGGAATTTTGCAGTCGTAAAGTTGTGGTCAGATAAGTAGAATATTTATTCCTAAGAACTAGGTACCTGTACACTATGACAATCCTTTATTTTATTGGTTGTAGGTGTGTCAATACACTAGAGTAACGAAGGTATCGGCATTTTGCATAAACTTTTATTATTCGATATTGAGAAAATATTCTATAAATAAGCTCATGAATGTATAAACTTAATTCTAACGATCCATAACTTGTTTTCAATTTTTCTGTTGAAAAGAAACAAATTGAAATAAAATATACTAATTAATTCACGACTGCCAACGTGTACGTAAGGTCATTAGTGACATTGACGACATCAATATTCAAACTGAGATTTTTACATACATTCTAAAAATTAATTTAAAATGTAAATTATGAATAACTGAAAATGTGGCAATAATATATTATATAAATAACAGTTATTAATGGTATTAGTATAAATGCCTAGTATTTTCTTGTATAACGATCAAATACGTTGTACTAAATTTTCCAACACGTCTTCGAATATTATCGAACGCAAGAAATCTTGGATTTCCTGAAACGTTTGACATGACTTATTTGAATGATAATATGATGTCAAAATAATGGCATAAATGCTTTTATAATGGCATTCCCATTGAAAGTAAGAAGAGGTCAGTGGTCAGTTGTATACACAAATGTCTTATGTGGACTTGGAAAGTTACCGACCTTGACAGACATTTCATTCTCCCATCTTATGCCTGCCAGTGAATTACTTTTCCTTCTTTTATTATAATTTCGTACAAAATCTGTATCTTCAGTTCAAAATAGATATTGGTACAGAGGTATTATTGAAGTAAGACGCAAGGAACTTCTCCATTCCCGATGTTCACAATTAATTAATAAGATTCTCGATATAAGTTCGAGCATCATTCCATTGAAATACCATGTATGGGAAAGAAGCGTATTTATGGAGTTGCGAATTATGTATTACCCATCGATATCTTTGTTACGTTCACCTTTGCTTCGTGTTATCTAAGTTTCTTCTAAGAGAGCGTTAGGCTTAAATGTCCGCAACAAAATGGAATTTCGGTTTCTGAAAAAGAAATCCTGTTTTGAGTGTATTACGACTATACGGGACACTGATGGATGACCAAAATGTGAAGTCGTGCAATAACTGGTTTGCTTTCCCCAAATATATTCCTTGCCCAAATCTTGTTCTCGTTCCTATGATCTACCTCTTTCCCTTAGAGCATATACTACATGGAGGAAGCACGCTTACGGTGACACTGTAGACTTTTGAGAGAGAAAGAAAGAAATAGTTTGGGTACTATCTTTTTCTCATATACTAGCAGACAGCGCAGGGAGGGAAACGCGGCGCGGACGCGTCAACCAATCATGTGCTTACGCAAGAGAGAAAGCTAGTACCCAAACTATTTCTTTCTTTCTCTTTCACTCGTGTACGGTGTCGCCGTAAGTGTGCTTCCTCCATGTAGAATATGGTCTTTCCTGATTTTGAAGAAGTAAAGAGTACACGATACCAATCTTCTTCTCTATCAGTCTCATAAAAAAAAGACACTATCTGTAAATTCGAGTTTCTGTTTATCTTTCCTTCGTAGAAATTGCATATATGCAAATGTTGATCAACAATAGATACATAGGGCGGACTAACAACTATCTTTCAGACATTTCAATAAATTAGTTGCTTTGTAATGATGATGGACATGTGTTTCAGGTTCTTAGTGGTTATCGAGAACGGGAAACATGCTGACGCATTTATTCGAAATTCACGGCCGGTTTTGCGCTGGTCATCCTTTGGAAGTAATCGTGACGACCTTCACACTTACGGCATGCATCCTAAACATGGAGACCGGAAGCGGTCATCCACGCGATGGAGCCCTTCCTTTATCAATGCATTGTCGATCGGGCCGATGTAATTCGGATGTAAACATAATTTCTTAGTTATTGTTGAGTATTGTAATCCTAATTCTGAAATACGAATAAGTCGAACGAATGATTATTTATTAGGACCTAAACGTAGCTGATATTATAGTGATGACTATAATACGATGTCTAGCAATACTATTTACCTACCATCAGTTTTGCAATCTACAAAGATTGGGTTCAAAATATATCTTGGGTAAGCAAAGAAATAGTTTTACACCTTAAGTAAAATGGATCATGAGTTTTCATTTAAAGAGCAGTATAGCAACGATAATTTTGTACAACTCGATCATTATTATAAGTATAACATAATATCTATTGTTTAAACATATAGGCATACGTTGTAAGTAGATCCGGCAATGGATCTGCTTACGATACGCGTGAAAGCTTTTAGTGTCAGTGAAAGTTTCATGGAAAGCGATAGCGTTTCTTTTTGTACAATACGTGACAACGATTAATTAATTGTAGAATTTGCACAATATTTGCTTGCGAAAGATTGGTTCTGAAATGAAATTTTAATTATCAATAAATTTATAAGTTAAGGATTTAAATGTAAAATGTTTTAATAGGTATCGCTGGCCTATTTACCGTGTTTTCCAGTGTTGTGTTCACATCCAGCGTAGTGAATTTTGGACGTAGCGATGTTTCTGATTTGAAGTAAGTTTCGTTGGAGGACGATTTGGTCAGTTTGAGTAAAAAAAAATTATTTTCTAACTTTCATTGTGTGCAATTTTTTCTAGGGATGCATTGTTCTTCTTCTTGCTTATTATTGACCTTTCAAAGGCTGCTATACTAGCACAATTGGCTCTAAGTTCCAGAAATCAAGAAGAAGTACGGGCAAATATCGCTCGTGGCATGTCTCTCCTAGGGCCAACTATTACGTTAGATACTTTAGTGGAAACGCTACTTATTAGTATAGGTTCCTTATCAGGTGTTAGAAGATTAGAGATTCTATGCAGCTTCGCCTGTTTTGGCGTTGTTGTCAATTATATTGTTTTTATGACATTTTATCCTGCGTGCTTGTCACTCATCCTCGAGGTAATTTTACTGGTTCACGGATTTTTCAATTATAATAGTAACTATATGGTCTCTTAATTTATACATTGTACTTCTTTCCCTTTTTAGCTTTCGCGTGGAACGAATAGCATGAAACCATTAAGTGCTGATAAGATTTTTACGATGCATGCATTAAACGAGGAGGATCAGAAACCAAATCCTGTAGTGGAACGTGTTAAATTGATTATGATCGCCGGTCTATTTGTGGTACACGCTAACAGGTATTGCATTTTTGTGTTATTCTCTGTTTTTCATAACGTACGTTAGTCACGTTTCCGTTTGAAAACGAACTTTATATTTTATACATCAGATAATGTGTAACAATAGGACGAAAACTGACAAAAAGTTATCATAAATCTGCTCCCATACACGATATGTATTTTCTTTACCTCTTGTTTGGTAGTTTCCTTATTCTTAACTTTCATGGGGTCAGGTTCAACATATTACACAGTAGTATGAAGTGTGCATTTAAATCATATTCAATGTATTTCACAAAAACAGATGGTATCTAGATCAGGTTTGGGTTCCTTTAACTCTTTGCGTGCTAAGTTAAAAAATAGTATAAGCGGTGCTCCTGTGTCGTGCTAAGAATTATAATAATTATTGTTACCTACCGGTTGAATTCGACTTTCGTCAAAGTAGTGCATAAAAATAGCGTCGCTCGAAATAATTTATGTAAATTATTTATGTTCGATAACTTTTTATTTGAATTAATGATAATTTATGGATTTAACAAGATATAATAATGGTTTCGCGTGAAATTATTTCATTTCAGTCGTTGGCCTTTCAAAAGCGATGAGAACGAGAGCACGGTGAGCAGTAAAATAGCTTCCGCGAATCCACATGTCATAGTGAATTCTTATAACAAATCAGAGAATCCATCGGAAGTTAAAGAGTATTTAATGAATTGGCTGTCAGTTAGTGCAGATAATATTGTGATATTGATTCTTCTCCTCGCGCTTGCAATTAAATTTATTTTCTTCGAAGACAAAGGAGATATCGCTAAACAATTACGGTTCAGAGTAGACGACAATACAGAAGAAAAAGTTGAAGGTGAACATATAAAAGAGAAAAAGATTGACAGTGAATGTTTTAAAGAAAAAGAGAATGAAAGTGAAGATATGAACAGTTGCAAGATGCAGTCCAGGCAAGATATTATTAAAATGCATACTATATGTCTTCCATCCAAGATACGTGATTGGATCGATGACAAGGAACTACAAATAGATGAAAAGCAATTAAGTGTAGATACAAGAAATGAAGAAAAGCAAGCCAATGTTCGTAGGTCTTTGGAGGAATGTCTTGAACTATACAAATCGGAAGTAAGCCATAGACGTATATATGCGCATATTTCAACTTTGTTAACAATTTGATTTCACATGTAATATTGTTAAATTCGCAGCTTGGAGCGAGTGCACTGACGGACGAGGAAGTAATTGAATTAGTGAAGAATAAGCACATAGCTACTTATCAATTAGAGAAAGCTGTTGGGGACATGGAACGGGGTGTTGGCATAAGGCGTCTTATAGTTGGAGAAGCTGGAAAGTTTCTTGATAATCTTTGTGACTTACCCTATAGGGAATACGATTACAGTAAAGTATTGGGGTCCTGTTGCGAAAATGTTATAGGATATGTGCCGGTACCAGTTGGAATCGCCGGTCCGCTATTAGTGGACGGTGAATTTTACCACGTACCGATGGCAACGACAGAAGGATGTTTAGTAGCATCTACAAATCGTGGCAGTAGAGCATTACTGAAGTGTGGTGTGACAAGTCGTGTCGTAGCTGACGGAATGACTAGAGGTCCCGTCGTGCGGTTTCCAAATATTGTCAGAGCAAGCGAAGCTATGGCATGGATGCAAGAGCCTGACAATTTTAAAGAAATGAAGGAGAGCTTTGACTTAACTAGCAGATTTGCAAGATTAACAAAGATTCATATACGCATTGCTGGGAGACATTTATTTATTCGTTTCGTTGCTACTACTGGTGATGCTATGGGGATGAATATGCTGTCTAAAGGCACTGAAAAAGCCTTACACGGTGTGAGGAGTCATTTCCCTGATATGGAAATATTATCGTTGAGTGGTAACTTTTGTGCCGATAAAAAGCCAGCAGCAGTAAATTGGATTCACGGTAGAGGTAAAAGTGTTGTTTGTGAAGCAGTGGTACCAGCAGATATTGTTACTAATGTGTTAAAAACATCGGTTCATGCATTGGTCGATGTGAACATAAGTAAAAATATGATTGGATCAGCTGTAGCTGGCAGTGTAGGTGGTTTCAATGCACACGCTGCAAATATCGTCACTGCAATTTTTATAGCTACGGGCCAAGATCCTGCGCAAAATGTTGGAAGCAGTAATTGCATGACTCTAATGGAACCATGGGGTGCGGATGGTTCAGATTTGTATGTATCTTGTACAATGCCTAGTATAGAAATCGGTACCATCGGAGGTGGAACAGGTCTTCCTGCACAAGGTGCATGTTTAGCTATGCTGGGTGTTAAGGGTGCCCATGCTGATCTGCCTGGTGAGAATGCCAGCAGATTAGCTAGAATAGTATGCGCTACGGTGCTTGCCGGTGAATTATCATTAATGGCTGCTCTTACAGCTGGTCATTTAGTTAAAAGTCATCTCAGGCACAATAGGTACGTTGATTTGAAAAAGTAAATACTTTTTATTGTAGGGAATAATACAAATTTCATAATATTGTTTCAGATCATCTACTACTGTAACGAATGCAATGAATGTTTCTCAAACTAATACAGGAGACAAACTGTCGGTGCCAAATGTGCTACAGTCTGTACAAAACGTTTGTAAAGAGTTCACAGAAAAGTGTTAGCTTTGATTATACATAAACGAGTTCGCTTCTGTTTTTTGTGTGGAACGTTCTACTTTGTCATTGCTTGAGGAATTGCAATACTTGGAGGAAATAGTACTGTTTTATGTACATGAAAGATTAAAACTGAAACAGAAGCAACTACAGTGAAAACTGGCTTTAACAATCTGGACTAAAATTTAGTTCAGGAAATAAATTAGATGCAACGTTCGAGTAATCTACGAATTTGAATTATGTATATCGGGAGGAGAGTATAGAATTTTAAATGTAAGGGTACGTGTATACTTAATTTGCAATGCAATATGCGGTAAACGATGATTATATAAAATTAATATGGTGCAAAGGTTATTTTTTGCATACACAGTCATATTTTTGCATAGTGCAATATTAATTCCTAATTGTAAGTAAAAAACTTAGTTAGAGCGCCATAATGTAACAGCAAAGAATTTAAAACTGTACATTATGTATTATATTAGGTACAATCAATCAAGTTTTTTCCGCAATTAAAAAATTATTTAAAAAGCATATGTGGTATTATTTAATTAAAAACTTAAACTTATTTTTTCATTTTTTAATAATTGAAATGATACAATACATCATCGAAAGGTAAACTTTTATTAGTATAAATATAAATTTTCGTTCATAATAATTAAATATATAAAGAAAAATACATGACAAATAAATAAAGAAGTTCCTTCTTGCATTATTTTTTTAATACTGCATGTGGTAGTAGTAGACTATTCTTTACTCTCCAAAAAAAACTGGAGCTAAGTAAATATAATAAAATTTACATTTTTTCATATGTTTCTTCATAACCACAAGTGATGCAAGTGTGCGTATATGTATCATTATCTGGATTATATATCTCTCCTGTGTATTCATGTGTATGAGATGCCCTCGAGGTTTTATCGTACAATGAACTTCTCATTGCCATTCTTAATATTTTCATCTGTAAAACGTAAACATGGTAAATTATTAAGAAAAGAATGTTTGTTTCAGTATGAACACGAATGGGTTATTAAATTTAAAACATTTATATTTTTTTATTACACTTTTCCCGAATTTTTTCATTTTAGCTTCTTCTTTCTTTGAATCACGTATTCTTTGTTGGTTTAACAAATTTTCTTCAGAACCCCATACTTCTAACGCTCTCTGTTCTACTTGCAATTCCAGATATAGTTTCATCTCACCCCAATTTGGATTATGAGGGTTCTTTCTCACTATGTACTTTAATGGGGGTTCTCTTTGATCCAGATCACAATCATTTAACAAATAGTTCCCCTTTGCTTTTGTTCTTGTCATTAAAGAGTGTTTGCCATTGGAATCTCTAGAACAGAAGTAATCATAATATTCTGAAAGTTTTTATATGAAATTAATAAGCTGCTTACCTGCAGTTATCACACACAGAGAGATCAAATTTCTGCAGAAGATAAGAATCTTTAAATTCCTGTTTACATTCATCGCAATGAGGAAAATTAATAATAATAGGACCAAGTTCTTCTACTACATTTAGCTGAAAAACAAAAACATTAACATCCCATATTACTTTGATTTTCATTATGTACAATTTTACTACTGCATTGTATTTATTATTGAATTATTGTACCATTTGTTCTTCTAGCTCATCATTTTCCTCTATTAGGAAGCCTCCTTTGGTATCTATTATACGCTGAGTTTGAACTTTTAATGTCTTGCCTTTTACTGAATTTCCAGTTTCTCTTAAAACAAATTTTTTAAATTCAGTTTCTAACATTTAATATTTGCATTCTTTTAATTATTAATGTTGAAACAATTACTGCAACATACCCTTTTTTATATGGATGAGAAACTATTTTAGATTTTTTTAACATTAATGCTTTTTCACGATTTCGTTCTGCACGTTCTTTAAAATGCTGAGAATCTTTTATTGGATCATTATTATTAGGAGGATCATTTATTTCTATATTAGTAGACATTTCTAATAACAGTAACCTTTTGCTGCAAAATATCTACAAATAAAAATTCCCTTTTCCTAAAATACATGAAATTATTTTTATAAAAATCAAAATAATTACATTTACACAAGTTAAAATTATGGTTCACAACATATATGCAACAAGAAAAGTACTTACTATACAGATATGTGTTATTTTTTATAGGTTATACAGATTCTACAATGATAATTATCATTTATTATATCACGTGCACCTTTTTAAGTATATTTGCAATGCTTTCGTCAGTAAAATTTAATGATCAGACCAGGGATGCTATATTAAGGGATGTTCCCTCTTCTCATTCTGTCCCAACTGTCCCAACAGTCCCAACTACCACCAACTACTATATGTCGTCCTGTCCTGTGTATGCTCAGTATGTCCTCCACACTTAAGTTTACCCATGGACATGCTTCTCTGACCTTGGACAGTTGGATGTTTGTTTTGCCGGTTCTGGCGGTTCTGGCCAATTCGTAATTTTTTCTTTATTACATTGCTTTATCTTTATATTAAATTCTAACATTTGATAATAAAATAAGGGCCAAACTTCCGATAATCCCATGTTTCGATTTAGCTGAAATTTTGGAAATAGGTTCTTTTCTAATAAAAATAATGATTGCGAAAAGGATTTTTGGTCACTTGAAAG